GACCAGGGACCCCCTTCTTAAAACTCCCATTTTCAGATGTACTTTAAGGTCTTTGGGAATTACAGTGAAGTCCCTAAAATAAGCCTCACTGAGTGAGAAATGCTTAGAATGTCATATTTACATTGTTATCCCAAATTATGCTTAATTTATACGGTCTTAATCACCCCTTGGGTAATGCGCAGGATTCATACTGAAGTATGTAAGGGTTTGGTGAATCTCTGATTTCTTTTCAGTTTTAACAGCATCATTTAAATTACTTGAAAATGCCATAGAGTTTTCCCACCAGAGTTTAATGTAGTCTTCGTGGAACTACTTATATGCACATGTAAAAGCTGTAGGTTTTACCAATTCCCAGAAAGGCTGCCCACAGTAATCAAACTAACAGTTGCACTTAGCTTTACATATTTCAGGCAAGCTGTGCCAAGAAGTAATTTAGCTCTTTCAAAGCAAAGCCTATCAGAAGATTTATTGCAAGAGCTACAAAATATTCTTTTCACCAAAATGGCTGGCAAACATGTAAGTAATTCAGTGAAACCTCCTTTATTGCATGTTCCAAAAGACTAATAAATGAAACACAGCATAGGTATGACTTGAACCAAGACTCCAAGAATAAATACTATACAGTACTGAGAAAAATATTTTAAGTGTATTTCACTCCAAATGAACCAGATTTACTACACACAGTAACTAATTCATGCTCCGGGGAAGTGGGGGTGGGGAATGAAAGGCATTCCCTTTACGAAAGAATATTTAAATGACACATACATTCATTCCAGTGAAATTCAGCAGGTATTCTGTAACTGAGAATGCCACCCCATTACCAAATGCAGTCCAACAGCACATCTCTTTTCTTATGTTCTACTTATCTACTAACTTCTAACTAAAGATCACTTAATCCACAATAAAAATTCAATCCACACTATCTATACTTTTAAAGACTACAAAGAAAGATATGACAGCCTACATTTCCTCTGCCCACAGGAAGTTAATGATGCATGTGTGCCACGAAGATCTATAGTGATCTTTCAGTTAGAAACTTAACATAAAGTTAAAGTTAGATAAGCCTTCAAAAGTATACTATTTCCTCGGGACAAATTCATTACTTTCAGGGAACTGGTAGGAAGAAAAGGAAGGAAGAAAGGAAGGAAGTGAAAAAGGGAGGAAGGGTGGGAGAAAGAGATCGAGAGAGAACAAGAGGGAAATAAAGGGAGAAAGAAAGGAAGGAAGGGAGGGAGAGAGAGAGAAAGAAAGAAAAAAAAAGAAAAGAAAAAAAAAAGAAAAGATCTTAGAAAAACTAGTCTGGCCTCTACCACCAATCTTCAACGGGTTGCTTCAAGGAGTATCATTGTCCAGAAGACAGTTGTTTCTCTGCTATTCAAGTATAATAGGCCACAAGCTTACATGAGTCACCATGCATCAACTCTATACAAATTTATTTAAATCCGTAATAATTTAACCAAATACAGGCAATGTTGATCCTATGCCATGTAAACTCCTTCATAGTCTCCAGGTTATCTCAACTTGCTTTATCTCTTGCCACAGAAGTGCTGAAAGTAGACGACTCAAAAAGATCCTAAAGACACACACCGTGGGACGCCAGGTGGCTCAGCCGGTTAAGCAGCTGCCTTTGGCTCAGGTCATGATCCCAGGGTCCTGGAATCAAGCCCCATGTGGACTCCCTTGCTCAGGCAGGAGTCTGCTTCTCCCTCTCCCTCTGCCTGCCACTCTGCCTACTTGTGCTCTCCATCTCTCTGTCAAATAAATAAATAAAATCTTAAAAAAAAAAAAAAGTCACGCACAGGAAGGGACCACTACAGGCCAGTTAAGTCCATTCTCCCCCTTCAAGGTGGACTTCATGTAAACCAGAGAGTCTAGTCTTACACTTCTTTGACTAAAGAGAGTCCACAGACTGCTTCACTGAGTCCACCATCCGGTCAGATGGGCCTTCCTTTAATGCAGTGGTTGAGAACTGGGTCCCCACCAGGGGACAGCTGGCAATGTCTGGAGACTTTCTCAGTTGTGCAGACTGGGGGGGATCTCACAGGTAGAGATAAGGGACACTGCCAAAAATCCTACAGTGTACAGGACAGCCCCCCAAACAAAGAATTATGCAGCCCCAAATGTTCATCGTGCCAAGGCTAAGAAATCTACTTTAATGGAACCTAAATAATGCTCTCAATAATGGAGTCCATAGCCTTCAGTCACTCTAGGAAGATGATTTTAGCGGCTCTAATTATAAACTTCTAACTTCAAAAGGAGAGAGCCAGACCTCCAGCCAAATGCTAGGAGTGACAGCGCAACCTATGGGCACCACACAAACCACAGATTGCTGGCCACACGTCAGCAGTATCAGTAATAATGACTGTCAGGTAATGTCCCCATCATCTGGAAACTCCCCGTATCTATACATCGCCACACAAGTCTGATGATCTTCCCCCACTGTCCACCTACTCCCTTTTCACTCCCACTATGGAGTTCTCTCGTGCAGCCCACAGGCTTTTTTTCCTCTGCCTGAGTATTAAAAATAGCATGAAAAGCAAGTGGAAGATGTGAAAATAGTAAATAACCTGAGGTGCTTTCCATCCCGGAAAGTCTATGATTTAACAGGACTTAAAAGGTTTATAAATCAGATCTGGAACTTGAAGAGATATCGGCAGCTTAAAGAAACAGTGCCGTGAATAAATAAACATCTAACATAAAATAACCATCAAAAGAGTACGTGTGCAAATAGATATATATGTACATGGAACTGCACAGACCCGGCTCAGGGAGAAGAGAATAAAAGGAGCTGAAATTGACTGCTGCTTCTTATAACTGCACTGACAGAAAAAATACATATTTAAACGCTAAGAGACAGAATTTACATGTCCACGTATTTTTTTTAAATTACAAAACTTTAAAATACACAACAGGAAAACCTAAACAGATCTTAATGAAAAGGGAATTTCAGGCTATAGAAACCTTACTGATCAATATGGAATTGGTAAATAATGGCCCACCCAAATATATTACACAGCCACTAAAAATCATATTGACGAACACTTCAGGGCATGAATATATACCCCCAATATAGAAAGAAGATAGGTATGAATAATACACACAATGATATCAATCCTGTATAAAATATAAACACATAGAAGTGAGTAAATTTACATAAGAAATACACACACGCACGAGAGAGGCAGGTGAAGGAGGTATGCCAAAATGTTAACAGTGGTTATCTGAGGACTGGGAAGATCAGGGCTGATTTCTCTTCTTCTCTGTGCTTTCCTCCATGTTCGTATTGTCCTACAGTGAGAATCATGTTATGTTCTATACTCACAAAACGAATAGATTATTAAATTTAAACTGTACTGTTTCCGGAACTGTCCATGAAATTAGAAAAAACACATCTGAATATGCCAACTTTTCAATTAAAGAAACCACCTTCCGAATCAAGAAAAGCGAAGTTTCACTGAGTGTTACTATTGTGTGTCTGGTATTTTCCTAAACACTACAACATATTAACTTAGTTAAATCAAACCAAAAAGGACACGGAAAAAGAGCCCTGGAATAAGGGAAGCTGTGAACCATCTCTGTCTCACTGTGAATTGCAATCTCAGTTTCTACAGACTGAAATGAGGGGGTTTAATACGATGATCTTTAAAGGTCCTCTCCAGGCTACAATGAGAGTCTACAAATGATGAATATGGTTGAGTAAGTGTTTGTAAGGAAGCTTCTAGAGAATGATGGGGCAGCTGCAAGCCATTTCAAACACAAAACCCTCTATAAAAGAACATAATTACATGTCTCGGTTCCTCCTCAATATTTGTACAACAAATTTCATGACATGTTAAAAAAAAATGTTGGAGGCCCACATTTTCCCAATACTTGGCCATAACTGATCAATGGGATAGGAAGTCTTGTAGGGGAGGTAAAAGATTTCACGGAAAGGTTGCGCTTCTGGCTCAGTTATCGTTGCTTTTAACAATAAACCTGTAATAAACAAAAACTTTATGAAATATTTTAGTCGTGTTCTGGGGGCGACCATTTCAAAGGTCTGATTAACGGGGCCCAAAGACCGACTGGAATTCACCAAAAGGCGTTCCACTTGTGAAATAAAACCAAAACCCCAATACAACACTGAATGGAAAATGAGGGGCCAGCACGAATCCCCTTTCTTAGGGGAAATTACAGCTGCGTAGTTCAAGGAATTTGGGCTTCCCGGTTAAATCGCGGGATTGTTCCCGAAGCTCACAGCCGGACAGAAGGGGCCCAGTCGTGGCTCCGCGGTTCACGCGTGGGTCGGAAAGAAGCACCGAGGTCTGGGCATACCCTTGACCTCTTAGGGATACTTCGCGTCTCCCATGCCACCGTCAAAAACAGGTCCATAGGTGTCTTTAGGAGCAAAATTAATACATAAGTGCAACGTCTGCTAAAAACAAAAACACCGGTGGATCTGCGATGGAAACACTAAAGGAGACAATTTCCAGGTCGGAACCGCACAAAAACTATTTAGGAAACACAAAGACGCAAGGCACAGAACAAATTAAGAACGCGAGTGTGAGAGACACACTCGGGCGGAACACAAAAGAGAAGAGCATCAACGACTGGAAACTGGCCCGGCCCTGGGACCCCGCGTGCGCCCTCGCCGTCCGGGGACACGGGGACCGGGTGGACCGGCAGCCGCCGCCCGGCCTCGCCGCGCACACGCGTCTCCCTGGCGGGGCGCGCGGCGATCCAACGGCCACAAAGCGAACCGCACAACTTCGCCGCGTAGGGCCCCAAGGTCGGCCCGGGGGCTCGGGCGCGGGAGGGAGGGGCGAGGAGCCCCGGCGGCCCGCGCCCGGCTCCGGGAGCCCCGCCCGCCCGGGACGCCGGGTCCTCGGAGGGGGCGCGTCCGCCCGCCCGGCCCTCACGGGTCGCCCCCGCCGCCTCCTCGTTCTTCGCGGGCAGCGACGGGCGTCCCGACGCCGAGCCCGCCGCCGTCCCGGAAGCCGCCCGTCCCGGCCGCCCCTTACCTGCGCCCGCCGCGCCCCGCGCCTCAGAGCGCCGAGAGCCGCCGCCCGCGCCGCCGCTCCGCCCGCCCCGGCGTCCGCGGCCGCGCCGACGCCATCTTGGCTCCGGTCGGAAGTGACGTCGGGCGGCGCCGGCCGCGGCCCCGGGACCCCGCACGGCCCGAACCGTCGCCGAGGGCAGCGACCCGGGGCACGCGGGCCCCCACCCCCGGGTCGCACACGCCCGGAAGACCCCGGGCCGCGCCGCCGCCCCTCAGACTCGCGCTGGCCCAGCTCCGCTGGCGGGGACACCGCGGACCCCCCGGCGGCAGGCGCCCGCGGCTCGCGGCGACCAGTCTGACCGCACCAAGGGGTTGGAATTCTGCGCGGTTCAAAGTTACTACGGGAATCCGCAGCCTTCGGAGGAAGAAGAAAAATGGGCTCATCCCTGAGTTCCTGTCAGATAAACATACGTCCCATTCTTGGCTCATCTTCGAAGGACCAGTCTAGCGTCACCCAAAAAGCTCAAGCGCCAAGAGGGCAGATGCACCTGGTTTCATTTGCTTCTTGAGGGCGCACGAGTATTTACTGTCCCCCCCCCCCCCCCCGTGCCTAGCCCTGTTCTCGGTGCCCCAGCCACGTCAGACCCAGAACGTGACCTTGTCCTTGTCCTGATGGGACTAAACTGAACAAACGGGAGCAAATCGGTGGCTTGGGTGGCTAGGAATAAACGCTGTCGCGGAGGAGGACAGCGTTGAATGGAGACATGGCTGGCAGGCGGCTGGAAAGGAGGCTGGAGTCTGGGAGAGGGACAGTTGGGGGTTCTCACGAATGGGTGGTATCGAAGGCCATGAGCGCTTGAAAATAAAATTATGCCTAAGAATGAAATCGGGAAGAATGAAAATGTAATGGGTAACATTAGGCTTCCGTGGAAAGGACCCATCCTAAAGAAGAGACATTAAGTGAGAGGCAGGTGTGCAAGTCCATTTAGGTAACTGGGGTTTAATCTTAAGAAAACATGGTGTATATAACATATACCATGTTAATATTGCAAAGGGTTGATAAAGCCAAGGACCCAGTCCGTATAGTTAAACAAAATCAAGATAGGGACGCCTGGGTGGCTCAGTTGGTTAAGCGGCTGCCTTTGGCTCAGGTCATGATCCCAGTGTCCTGGGATCGAGTCCTGCATCCGGCTCCTTGCTCGCGGGGAGCCTGCTTCTCCCTCTGCCTCTGCCTGCCACTCTGTCTTCTTGTGCTCTCTCTGACAAATAAATAAATAAATAAAATCTTTTTAAAAAAAAAAAATCTCATCAGAGTAAATTTCATCAAGGCCTTAAAAAGTGACAGGGTCAGCACAGACCCTATGGAAGAAAAAAAAGAGAGAAAAATCAAACCTCAAGGATTTTCTTTTTTCTGCTATCGTTAGAGGGAAAGAGAGCCTAATCTGGAAGATACTCCTATGCATGTTACTAAAGCAGACATCAGACTTTCTATCACTTACCTAAATCAATGCCCTGCAACAGGATCCATGCATTAAAATTATCTGGAATATCTGCAAAAAAAAAAAAAAGAGAGAGATGAGAGTTGCCCCTGTTCCATCCACAATTAAAACACTGACATACAAATCAAAATTTTAAAAAACAATCTCTGCACCATCTGGCATTCAACAGAATGCAAAGGAAAATAAAGGAACATCAGGTTAGAAGGAACACGGTGACATATAGTAGACATACATTAGATAACATCATGCCAAGACGTGTTTGACAGAGTAGTCAGTGGGCTCCTTCCGTCGTTAACCTGAAATGACTGGGTGTATTAGTTTCCTGCTGCTCTTGTAACAAGTTACCATAAGCTGTGCAGCTCTAAACACCAGAAATGGATTCTCTCACAGTTCTAGAGGCCAGGAGTCCAACATCAGTATCACTGGACCAAAATCAAGGTTGTCGGCAGGGACACATTCCTGCTGGAGGCTCTAAGGGAGAATCGTTCCTTGCCTCTTCCAGCTTCTGGTGGCTGCCAGCATTCATAGGCTTATGGCCACATCCCTCCAGTCTTTGAGGCCAGCATCTTTAAATCTCTCTGCTCCAGCTCCACATCACGTTCTCATCTATCACTTGTGCTCAGATTTCCATTTGTGTCCCTCTTATGAGGATATATGTGATTGCATTTCGGATCCACCCAGATAATCCAGGATAATCTCTCCATCTCAAAATCCTTCACATAATCACCTCTGCAAAGACTTCTTTCCATATGGGAATTAGGATGTGAACAAACCTTTGGGAGCATTATTTAGCCTGCCACACTGGGTATATCCTCCGCTCTCCTAAATTACCCCCTAATCAACCACTGCGTATTTTCCCTCTGTATTTTTCTTGAGCGTGTTAATATTTTTCAACCTGCGCCACTTCTCAGGATAGATATTACATTTATTTTACCAACTTAACTGAAAAAAGATGCTGTCAAGAACACAATGTAGTTTCATGAGTGTTTATTATCTGTCTGATGTGCTAAATATTACTCTTTTGCCTTGTTGAAAACATAAAATATATTGCTAAAAGATGAGGGAAGGAAATTCAGACATTTTCATCATGTCTCATGGACAATTTCTATATTGGGATGGAAGTATAAAATGCACTTTTTGTCTAAATCAATAACATGAATGAAGCTCCACTGTCTGCAGGTACATCTAGTATAGGTTCTGACCGGTTTTGTATTTGGGGGTGCGGTACCCTTCCAGGGGACATATCATCATTCACCACAACATCCCAGGACGCAGAACTGTCTGGCACATGGTAAACACTGGATAGATGTTTTTAACAGGGAAAAAGTCTTCTCTCTGGCTGGGTTACAGCAAGTATGTGTGGACCAAAGACATAGTGCATTAAAAAGACAGCATATGGTTATAATAGGAACCACAGAACTTCTGCTCAGCAGAGCAGCCAGAAGATCTACAGCAGTGCTCCTAAAAAGATGAAAGATTTTACAACCAAGATTAAAGAATTTACAACACATCACCAATGGGAATGTCAGTGGGCTTAAAATTCCTTGAATGGTAACAGTAGTGATTCTCCACTGGCTTCTACTCGAGGTATTTTGCACGGACTGTCTTATTCAGCCTCCAGTCAGCCCTGTGGGGTGAGAACTATCCTCATTTTACAATTGAGGACACCGAGGCCAGCAAAAGTTCAAGAATCTGCCCAGTGAGTCACAAAGCCAGGTTTTCAATCTAGACAGTTTAGCCACCTCTTAAACTGCAGACTTACCAAATAAACTCTACTCCCTACACACGTGTGCACACACTGGAAAGCCCAAGAGCTGGTTCGGGTAACTCTCCCACTAGATGGTTTCAACTAGTTGTTCCTGAACCCAGATACTTGCAGTAGGAATTGGGATGTGTCTTTTCAGTATCAGCATAAGGAGACCATTCTAAGTAGTCCCCCTGGACTGTCGGGCAAGAGCATTTCATGATCACGGGGAAAGAGAACTGGTTGTCTAGGGCAACGGCATCAGATGAACTCACATTTTGTCCAAGAAACACATCATTTACTTCGAACAAACAAATGAACAAAAAAACACCAAAAAAAAAAAAAAAACAAAAAACCACACCTGCGTCTCCTTTCCTGGTGCAAACGGTTTCCAATGAGACAAACAACAGCAGCCATTTTGCAGACTAAGAAGCAAAAGCACAGATTGTAGAGGGGCATAGCTGGTCACTTCCAGAGACAAGACTCAAGAACCTGTCCCATGTCAAAGTCCGTGATCTGTCTACTGGCTGTTGCTTCCCAGTCACCGAGGAGCCCTTAGCACTACAGTCTCTGGGCACTGCAGAGAACACAAAGGGACAGATCCACCATCCCTGCCCTCCAAGAACTCGGCTCTAGTGGAGCAGTCTGAGCCTGCTTACAAAAGCACCGCAGAGCACAGTGTGAGAGCAGAACAACATCGTTACGCTCCCTGAGTGCTCCGTCTGGGCTTGCGTCCCATTCCTCTTTTATCGATATTACTTTAAGGCAACCTACTGAGTGCAAGAAAATATCTGCAAATCATACATCTGATAAGGGATTAGTATGCAAAATATATAAAGAACTCATACAACTGAAGAGAAAGGAAAATTAAAAACAACGGGCAGAGGATCCGAATAGATATCTTCACAAAGAAAACATAAAAAACGGCCAACAGGTGCATGAAAAGATACTCAGCATCCCTGGTCATCAGGGAAATGCAAAGAAAACCACTGAGAATGGCTATTATCAGAAAGACAAGAAATAACAAGTGTTGGTGAGGATATGGAGGAAAGGGAACCCTCGTGCACTGTTGGTGAGAAGGTAAATGACCTTAGCCACTATAGAAAACACTGTGGAGGTTCCTCAAAAAATTAAAATTAGAACTACTATATAATGCTGCAATTCTCCTTCTGGGTATTTATTCAAAGAACATGAAAACACTAACTTGAAAAAACAGATGCCCTCTCATATTTATTGCAGCATTATTTACAATCACCAAGATATGGAAGCAACCAAAGTGTCCATCAGTGGATGAGTGGATACATATGGGTATCTACCTATTTCATTAGTGCATGATACATATACCACATTCTTTCTGTATCTCTATTATGTAGTATATGTAACATAGTATATGTTATATATAATGTTAGATATTATATATAATGATATGTTATATAACATAATATGTAGACAGAGTTAGAGATAGATAGGTAGATATATCTTAAAGGTTCTCATCACAAGAAAAAAGGTCTGTTAACTATGTATGGTTGATGGAGGTCAATCTGACATTGTGGTGATCATTTCACAATGTATACAAATATCAGTTCAGGGGAGTCTGGGTGGCCCAGTGGGGTAAGCCTCTGCCTTTGGCTCAGGTCATGATCTCAGAGTCCTGGGATTGAGCCTCATATCAGGCTCCCCGCTCAACAGGAAGTCCGCTTGTGTCTGTGCCTCTGCCCTTTCCCTGCTCATGCACTCTCTCTCTTTCTCTCTCTTTGCCTCAAGTAAATAAATAACCTTTTTAAAAAATACCAAATCTTTATTTTTAAAAACATGGAG